CACCAGCAACGTGTGTTTCCGTGTTGGTACAGGCAGGAAAATTCCCCAAATTCACCCCCAGCCTCTTTTTTTGCCCCCTCTGCTGGCGGGTCATGCTGGCAGCTCCTCCATCCATGGCATCCTCACCCACTACCCTGCCAAAACACAGAGCTGGAGGGGAAAAAAGGGATAAATTGTGGAAAGAAATGCTTGACACTGCTCAGAATTGGGCAGGGGGCAGCTAAACCAGGGCTGCCTCTCCCTTCCTCCCCCTCATCGCATTATCCTGAAGCTGGACCGGAGTGTTGGAGCGATGGGGTTGGGATGGATGACGTTGAGGGCTGTGATGGAGCTCACCCCTGGGCGAGCAGGAGCGGTGCCAGGGAGCGGGGGGGGACACACAGAGGTGCCATTTATTCCCGTTTATTCCGCAGGTGGCCGGGGCGGCTCCGACGGGAGCCGGGGGTGGCCGTGCCCACCCTGCCCCTCCGGCCGTTCCGCCTGCAATAACGAGCTGTCTGTCTGCACAAAATAGTCCTTTCTGTGAAAGGATCTTCCCGTCGGGGCGATGGGAGAGCCAGTGACTGTGTTGCAAAAGAACAAAATTAAAAAAAAAAAAAAAAAAAGGAAAAAAAAATAACAACAAAACTCAAGGAAAACTGTACGAACCCACCCTCCCCGCCCCGGAGCGAAATTCTTTTGTACCAATGAAGTTTGTTGTGTGCCTTTCGCGGTACGGCTGGACGTGACAATAAAGTGACAGTTGTTTGCATCGTTTTGACTCGTGGAGATCTAAAATGCTCCCAGGCTTGAGGGAGGGGGGGTCTGAATTTAAGGACACGTTGCATTTATTGTGCTCCCTGCACAGGCGATCCCGGCTCCGCAGAGCTGGTTAAGGCAACTCCTGCCTCGGGCTGGGGAATGGGTGGGCTGAGCCTTTCAGTTCTGATTTTTGGTGATTTTTATGGAAGTGGCAGCCAGGTCCAGCGCTCTGGAGTCGGGTGGAGGTGCTGGGGGAGCTGTGGGAGCTCCTGAAATAAGTGGGGTTGAGGGGTATCCATAGTAAGGGATGTAGATCCTGTGCTCCTTGCAGCTGTGCTTCCCGAGGGGTCCCCAGCTTGCAGAAACCCTGGGATAAAGGGGTGAGCCCCTTTTTGTGGAGCTGGTTGGGAAAAGCCTGTCCCCAGGGCCCCCCCAGTCCTGCTCCCCACCTCGGGCAGGGAACAGGCAGGAGTTACCAGTGTGATGAGTGAGTCCGTCCTCTGCCGGCCACGCTCCACCCCTTCAATCCCCCTTTCTCCCTCCCCCTCTGCTTGGAGCGGGCTCTCCTTAGGGACGGCGGGATGAGTGTTTGGGAGCAGCAGCCAGGTGAGTTTTCCCAAGGGGGAGGATCCTAAATTGACGGTTTTGGGTGAACCACCTGCTGTGTGATAAAGGGTTTGTGCTGCTTTTCTCCTCCACAACACCCGGGAGCACCATCCCATCTCCCACCAGCGCTAATTAAACTCCTCGGAACGTAATTAGCCAGCCCTTTTCCTTGTGATTTTGCCAGGTTTTGCTGATCCTGGCATCTCCTTCCTCCAGCCAAGGAAAACTGTTGTGGATGGTACAAACACCCACAGCCTTTCAGTGTCCCCATTCCCGGCTGTTGGAGCGTCTCTGGATCCTCAGTGTATTTATCCTCTCGCAGGGAGAGGGTGTGGAGGGACAGGACAAGGGGGAATGGCTTCCCACTGCCAGAGAGCAGGGTTAGATGGGATATTGGGAAGAAATATTTGGCTATGAGGGTGGGGAGGCCCTGGCACAGGTTGCCCAGAGAAGCTGTGGCTGCCCCTGGATCCCTGGAAGTGTTCAAGGCCAGGTTGGATGGGGCTTGGAGCAACCTGGGCTAGTGGAAGGTTCCCTGCCCATGGCAGGGATTGGAATGAGATGATCTTTAAGGCCCAAACCATTCTGGGATTCTATGATTCCATGAAGATGATGACGTTCGCCTGCTCTCCCATGGGGAAGCAGCATCAGTAAAGCTTCTGGAGTGGTTACTTCCAGTACAAGCCACTGTCCTATGGGCCTGGATGCAGCCATGCCCTATTTTGAGGCTGGGAGGCCCAGGATCATGGGGCATCCCTGGATCCTGCCTCCCTTTACCATCCATCCCTGGGAGCAGGATGGGGATGGAGGCATGGGGCTGTGCCCCTCCAGCAAGGGGTATCCCCACTGCCCCCCTTCCCCTGGCACCCTCAGCATCCACAGCACCAGGAGCATCCTGTGCCTTTTCCACAGGCTCCAGAAATGATTGCATGTTACCAGAGAATTCCCTTTGTCCTCTAAAAATATCCCTTGGCCCCGGCGAGGGCGGGCACTGACCACGGCAGGTCTCAGGTGCCTAATTGCTGATTTCTGCTCAGACCCGACATTTTTGGGGCAGGAGGGAGGAGCACGAGAGAATCAGCAACTTCTGGGAGGGGGACTGCATTGTCTGCTGCTATGTATAGCCTCCAGATTTCAGCCCTGGCCTAAAAAAACCCCTAAATTTTCCTCAAAGCAGATGTGGAAGGGTTTTTTGGACCAGCCAGCCCTGTCTCCCCGGGGCGGGGGTGAGGAGGGGAGGCGGCTCTTCCCTCCCCGTGGGCTGTGTTTAATAAAGGCTAAATAGGAATGGATTTAATGAGTCCCCCTCCCTTTGATGACTCGGCCTCTATTTCTCCTTCATCTTGCCACGGGAGAGGTCTCCAGGGGAGGGAAAGGTCCTCCAGTTCCCATCCCGGCGTGTCCCCAGGCACCCACGCTGGCCTTTTCCCTGGGATGCTCCCGGCTGCTGGCAGCCCTCCTGCTGCTCTGAGTTACCATTTCACAGATTTAAGCTCTGACAAAAAGGGCTCACCTCGTCTCCAGCCGCTCCACTCCCAGACTTTGCACCTCCCGTCCCCATTTGGCGGCAGCCGGAGAAGCCGAAGACTCGGGATTTGTAGGGCGACAACAGGGAAATGGCACTTTTATGGAGCCAGCTGCAAAATGCACGATAAAAAAAAAAAAAAAAAAAAAAGGGAAATGTTGCAGTAGTGTCCTTAATTTATTAATTAATTTTGCAACCAGATCCAAATAAGAGCCGCTTTTTCCTGCTGTTAAGCAGCGATGGCTGTGCCGGGGTGGGTGCCTGGCACAGCATCCTCCTTTTATCAGCCCTTCCAAACCAAGCTGGACATATACCCGTCAGCACCACCCCAATCAGGCACCAGTGACTAATTGGTGATAATTACAGAAATCCCCCGTCTGCTGGTGTGTTTTGCAGGGCATTTTTTGGCACCCTGGACTTATCCCTGGCCGCAACAGTTTTAATTAACGCGGCACCGCGCGACCCCTGCGCTGCGCTGGGGTCAGTGCGTGGGGCTGAGGGGATCGTGCCATTGTCAGCTCCGTGCTGGGTGCCAAGGGGTGCCAGGCAGTGGCAGTGGGGTGCCAGGGCTCCAGGGGGTGGCTGCGGGCAGGGGTTTTTGGGCGCTGGGGGGGGGGGGCCGCGCCAAGGGCTGAGCTCCCGCTGCCCTGCTTGGAGGGCAGCGAAGGAAATCAGTCATCGAAGGAAATCAGTCACCGGGTGTTGCTGTGGAAACGGGAGGGGAAACTTGGTTTGTGGCAACCGGTGCCTCCCTGCCAGGAGCCCTGTGGAGCCTGGCCAGTGGAGGGGTGACACACAGCCCCCCGTGTCCACTGCTGAGGCCCCGGGGGGCTCTCATTGCCGCTCTCTACGGGATGCTGCAAAGGAAGCTGCATCCCACAGTGCTGCTGCTGCTGCTGGGGGCACCGGCACGGCTGTTTTGGGGGGCCGGCCCCCTCCCCAGCCCTAACTTGGGAACACAAGAATGTTCTTTCATAAAATCGTGGAACCACGGAACGGTTTGGATTGGAAGGGACCTTAAAGTCCATCTTGTTCCACCCCCCTCCCACGGGCAGGGACACCTCCCACTAAACCAGGTTGATCCAAGCCCCGCCCAACCTGGCCTTGAGCACTTCCAGGAGTGGGATATCCCCAAATTCTCTGGATAACCTGCGCCAGGGCCTCCCCACCCTCACAAGGAAGGATTTCCATGAGCAAACAGCTGGGCTGGCAGCGGATTTTTCAAGGGGCAGAGGGAAGAAAGGAAAAAGCCACTTCATAAAAACCCAACCAGCTCCCTTGTGCTTCCAAAATCTTCCACCTGAAATCCCAAAATCTGGGCATGTGGGCTTTTACTGATTGAAAAGAAAACATAAAAAATACTGAGTGATCCCTGAGACGTGCCCTGGATGGGAACTTTAGAGCTGGAAAGGGCTCGAAGGGGACAGGGAGGGTCTGATGGTGCCAGGGGACTGTTGACTGGTTTAGGGGATGGAGTGATAGAGGGTTTTGGGGGCTCAGGGGACACGGGGGACTTCGGAAAGGGGTGTTTGCAGTTGTGTGTTGTGTGGGGCGAGTGGGTTCAGGGGGGCTGTGGGTGCAGGGATGGGTATGTGGGGTCTGGGCTGTGTGATGGGGTGCGGGGGGTGTGCGGTTCGGGGGGTGTGATGGGTGCAGGCGGTGCAGGGCGAAGGCTGTGTGATGGGTGCAGGATGTGTGATGGGGTGCAGCAGGCGTGGGGCTCAGGGTGTGTGATGGGTGCAGGGGGGTTGTGGGGTGCAGGGGCGTGGGTGTGGGGAATGTGGGTGCCGGTGGGTGCGGGGTGCGGGATGGGGGTACAGCAGGTGGGGGGGAGGGTTGTGGGCTTGGTGCGTGGCATGTGTGGGGTGCAGGGTCGGGGGGTGATGAATGGGGGGCACAGAACAAGGGGCTGTTGGAAGGGACTGGGGCAGGGCCGGGGACAGGGAGATGAGCAGAGCCAGGGAGAGGGACAGACTCAGGGTGAGGGGCAGGGGAGGAGGCGGCGGGGTCTGGGCAAAGGCGATCTGCAAAACCCGGGAGGCTGAGAGGAGAGGAGAGCAGGAGGAGGAGGAGGAGGAGAAGAGGAGGAGGAGGAAGTCGGGGCTGAGCCGCTTCCTGTAGGCAGCGGGATGAGCGCAGACAAAGCTGGGTGGGGACTCGCCGCTCGGGGCTGCTGCTGACCACCCTCCTCCTCCTCCTCCTCCTCCGGCCGCATCCCTCCGATCCTCCCTCCTCCATCCATCCCTCCCTCCATCCATCCATCACAAACGTCTGTCCATCCATCCCTCCATCCCTCCGTCCGTCCGCCCCGCCGCCGCCGCCCGCCCCGCGGGGCACCGCCGCCCGTCTCCAGGTACCGCCGGGCACACGGGGGGAGCCGGGACTGGGGGCACTGGGAGCACTGGGAGCACTGGGAAGGCTGGCACTGGCCGCACTGGCGCACGGTGGGGCTGGGCAGGGCGGTCCCCACCCCCGCCTCCCGCTGTCGCTGACCCCCGCGGGGACCGAACCGCTCCCAAATCACGAGAAAATCCCCCCAGATCCCGCAGGATGCCAATCCCCGCATCTCCCCAACCCCACGGGGACCTCACTCTCTCGGGGAGCGGTGGGGGACGGGGGTCCCACCCCGCCGGGGTCTGGGAGCCGGGAATGTGCCTTGTACGGGGAGTTCAGTCTCCCAACAAAGGTTGGATTTAGAGGGTTTGATCCTCCTTAATCAACTGATTTGCCATCACAGGGAAGGCTTTTTCTGTGGATGAATGAGACGTAGTGTTCTTTCTTTCCCTATTTTTTTTAATCATGGGAAGGAACGGGCAGACTTTCCCAACCCCAAATCCCTGGAGCAGCCTCAGCTGGGATGGATCTGCCCCAGCCTGGCTAGGAGGGATCTGGGGGCGATTTCCATGCAGGTGGAGAGGAATCCATCCTGCCATGCCTACAGCAGTGTCCCTCTGCCCACCATTTCTACCAAAATCCTAATTTTTCCCAGCAAAAATTTGAGGGGAGAGTACTTTGGGTGAAGGAACCCCGGGAAAATCACCGGGAAGATGCGCTCGGGGAAACCTGGACCAGGGCTGCCTTTCCCCGGTGGGAGGGGAATCCAGCAAAAAGCTGACAAGAGGGGAGATGTGGGTTAGATATCAGAAGATTCTTCCCTGTGAGGGTGGACAGGCCCTGGCACAGGCTGCCCAGAGAAGCTGTGGCTGCCCCTGGATCCCTGGAGGTGTTCAAAGCCAGTTGGGATGAGGTTTGGAGCAATCTGGTTTAGTGGAAGGTGTCCCTGCCCATGGCGGGGAGGGGGGAGGGTGGAATAAGATGATATTTAAGGTCCCTTCCCAGCCAAACCATTCTGTGATTCCATGATTCTTGGCTCCTCGGTGGAAAATGCTTTAGATTTAAGGCAAATCTGGACGCACAGCCATACCCCCTCATTAATCAATTACTAATGAGTGACTAATGAACTTAAAGCACGGCACCCAGAGGGCAGTGCCCCGGAGCAGGAACGCTCTGCCACTGCCGTCCCTGCTGCCGCAGCTTCTCTGTGTTCTTTCCTTCCCTCTTTCCCTCTGGCCTCAGCAGCGATCCCGTGCTCCGTGGCCACGAGTGGGAAAAGGGGCTGGGACCGTGTGGATGTGGATGGCGGCAGCACATCCCCTGGCAGCAGGCTGGAGCCAGGCACCGAGGCTTTTTCCTTATAACTGGATTTCCCTGAATGCAACTGGAGCATGCGATTTTAATCCTCTTTTCCTACCATATGGCCGCTGGCTGGCTTGAAATATGACTCAATTAATTATTGCCAGGAAAGCCCCGGGGGCGAAGCCTTTCTCCAGGAGGGGCTTTGGAGATGCTCCCAGGGTCGTAATGGGGCTTTTCTCACCCGTGGGATACAGGGACACACGTGGCTCAGCCCCATCCCGCCCCAGCTCCCCTGGCACCGGTTTTGGGGCTTTTTTTCCGGCATTTTCAGCCTTGCAGGAGGGAGGCAGGGAGGCTGTTGATGCTGCTCACACGATGTGCTGCCGGCTGTGACACGAGCCTGGCAGTCTCAGCATCACCTGGATAACGCCTGGAGTCGGCCTCGCCCCTGAAATGGGGTATTCCAGGCTTGGGAGGACCTGTGGGTCCCCCCCACCCACCACTAACATGGTGCCTCCACGTGCCCCTCGTCTCTCCCAAATTCCCTGGGAGCTGCCAGCTTCGGTCCCAGTGGATAATATACCAGCATTAAGGATCTCATGGTGTTTTCTCCAGGATCCTTGCAGTTGTGAGCTGGTGGTGGCCTCGTGGGGCACATTTTGGATCTGGGGAAGATGATAACCAGGGCGTGGGGGGTTATCAAGGCCAGGAGCAGGCAATCCTGATGGTATTGCCATGGATAGATAGCTGCGAGCTGGTGACAGAGCTCTATTATTATTATTATTATTATTACTATTAATCCCCAAACCATCCTGCTGCTTTGTCACCCAGTGCCATCGTGGCAGTAGGAGGAAAATGCAATAAAGAGGCGACTTTGCCAGGGTGGGCAGTGCCATCCCACGTGGCAGCCTCGCTGGGATTCCAGAGCTTTGGCCCAGGAGCAGCGGTGGCCGAGGCACCACTTGTGCTCCTGAAACCCAGTGAGTCACCAAAGGAGGACAGCCAGGCACGGGTACAGGCTGTTACCATAGTAATTAGGACTGGAGAGATGGTGCTGGAGTCTCACAGACCCCCCTGTGTCCCCAAAAAGTGCTGCCCAGGGGTGTCCATGCCGCTCCATCCCGTGAATCGGTGCCGGGATGCTCCAGCCTGGAGCGCTGGTGACACGTGTGGTGCCACCGGAGACCACGGGGGGCTGCACCTCCTGCTCCCTCCTGCTGGACTGACCCATTTTGGGTTGGGAATAAGGGGTTCACTGTGGGAAAAGAGCCATTTTCGGCATGAGTTGCATCGGTTCTCAGCGTGGCTTCTCCAAGCCTTTCACTCCTGCGCCTGGAGCAGGTTGTAGGAGCGGGATATATCTGTGTGCATTCACAGCTGGAGGAGAAATAGGGGGAATGAACAAAGGGATTAGGGTGGGTTTTCAGTTCTTCCTGCTTTTCAGGTTCTTTTCTCACTGTTTCTCCCTCTCTGCTTTCTCACTCAGCCCCTTTTTGGGGTCACAGCAGTTTCTGGGAGGAGGGATGGGGGGAAAGGCAGCAGGATATGGTACCCCATGATGCAGGACAGGATGTGGGATGCATTCTGATCCACTGACCAGGGAATTTTTGCACTTGGCCTTGCTCAGTTTTATTCCCTCCTCACTCCCAGCATGGCCTCAGCCGTTCCTCACGTGCATTTTTCCTCCTCTGTGCCACGTGCATGGCTCAAATTCCCTCGAAACCGGCCCCTCTAAAGCACAGGAACAGTGTTTCCTCCTCAAAATCCTGGGAAGAACAGCAGGAGGAGTCTCCCAGTTCTGCTGCTCTTGGGGCAGGGCGTGATGGCTGCGGAGAGCACGGGCTGCCATTCCCAGCTCTCCGCACGCACTCGGCACGAGACGTTTGGCGCTCGCCCCATGGAAAAGCAGGTCTGAGCTGGGGAGAAGGACGGGCTCCAGCCGCCAGGAGGACACAGATTTGGCTCTGTGGGGAAGTAGGGCTTGCTCCAAAACCCGTCTGAAGCGTCTGGGATGGCGTTTGTGGAGTGTGGACTTCGGGTCTGGCCGGTGATTAATTAATTAATGGTGTCTTCGATTAGAGAGGTGCAAGCGGATCGCCAGCGCTTGGCGGGCAGGGAGGCAGCGGGAGCTGGATATTGGATCAGAGAGTCACAGGATGGCTTGGGTTGGAAGGGACCTGAAGGACCATCTGGGATGAGTGAGGATGCAGCCGTGCTGAGGCTGAAGCCTAAAATCACTCATCTCCTGCATTTCACATCAGAACAATGGACTTCAAACACCAAACCAAATTTTTCACAGGCTCAGTGGGAAAAAACCCTCTGAAATGGCAGCATAGCAAGCCTTAAAAAATCAGCAACTTGCAGTTGAGATACCCTTGATAATTCCCAGGAAGCAGCTGCGCCAGGACCTGCTTGTCCTACCAAGCACAATTAGTTTTCACCTTATCTCGTCCTTCCCTTGCTTTTCACAGGGCAGTTTTCTTCCCCTGTTGTCCATTGTCATCATGCCTCAGGTTAATTAGTTTATCCCAGGGAAGGTCTGGGTGTTGCTGGATTGTGGTCGGAGGGTCCTGGCACCACGGGGAGGTTTCTGGTGGTGGGAGATGCTTCCCTCCAGCATCCACAGGCCAGCTGAGCTGTGGGTTGGTTGTTCCAGGGGGCTGCCGTGCCCCCAGAGTGCTGTTCCTGGCACAGCCAGGCACCCTGGAGCTGTGGATAAGCTCCTTTTTGCTGAGTTGGTGTCTTGGTTTAACAGGTTTATCATCCCACCCTCATTTGCTCTCCCAAGGGCTTTGGGAAGGAAAGTTGGCTCTGTTGATCCCCTGATGATCCCTACGAGTGGCTCTCCTGGCTGGAAGGGTCTTGGCTGGGCAGCTGCGAGAGTGAGAGGGAATGACTTAGGTGGGAAGGAGCAGCCTTGCCTGAGCCTTGGGATCCTGAGCATCAGTGCTCCTTCCTGGACCTCATGAAATCTGTCCAAAGGGAAAAAAAATCCCTGGCAGAGCATGGGATATTCCCACTGCAAACTCCTCTGTGTTGCTGGTTTTACTCCACGTCGGGCTGCTCAGTGTCCTTCCTCCTTCTGCCTGCAGCATCCTCTGACCAGGGAGGATAAATCCCAGATCCAAAGCCTGGCTGTTGCCTCCTGGAGCTGCCTGTGCCCATCCCCGCAGGCAGAGCTGCCTGTGCCCATCCCCATAGAAAGAGCTGCCTGTGCCCATCCCTGCAGGCCTGTGCCCATCCCCTCGGGCAGAGCCTCCAGCTGCAGCGGGGACCGTGGGGACATCAGTGCCGTGGGGACATCGGTGCCCTGTGCCACCACCAGCACCTCTGCCCAGGGACACAGCCCTAATTATGGCAGGTGCCCAGAGTGAGTCTGTGCTGAGAACCCCCTCCTCCTCCTGCTCCACCTGCCTGTGCTGGAACCCTGGTTTTCCCAAGGCTGGCACCTCGAGGAAAACTGGCACCGCTGGGGTGAGTTCGTGCTCTAATTAGAGTCGGGTCACTTCGGTGCTGTCGCGTCTCTCGTGTCAGTCCTGCTGTGTCAGGAAACCTGTGCTCCTCCACGACAGCTCCCGTGGCTGGATCCATGCACAGCAAATGCCAGCGTTGCTGCAGCCTCAGGCTTAGAATCATGGAATTGTTTGGACTGGAAAAGCCCTCTAAGATCATCAGCTCCAACTGTTCCCCCAGCACTGCCGAGCCCACCACTAACCC